GGTGTAGTTGAAGATTACAACCCTCCCCTTCCAAGCGTGTAGTAGAAAACTACAATAGGGAGAAAAATGTGAAAGGCCCTGCCAGTGTTTGGTTTGTCCATTCTGGGCTTAGTTTAAATTTGACATGTTTACTGCCAAAAAATGTCATAAATGTAGTATAAATGTGGAAATCAGTTGAAACCGTGTGTTCAAACTAATTTAAATGTTTGCAGGTAAAATGCACTTAGACACACACAGAGTTGTTGAAACAACTTAATGTTTGCATTTGCATTTAATACCATTAACAAGAATGAATGATTAAGAATTTGATAGAAAAAGTTGCTGCTTTAAGCCCTGTCTATTTTGAGTATAGATGCAAATACAGATAATCTAATTGTTTGAACAGATACAGATAATGGTGTACTCACTTATCCCCAGTAAACATCATACTTGCCTAATATCAGCATGTTTGCGTAGCTGAGCATCCGCTAGCATGGCTGTAGACTCTTCGTCTTGTTATCCATCATAACAACACAATGCATGTTGAAATGCACCAAAATATTAAATATCTGATGTGCACTTCTATCCGCATCCTGTCACTGCAGCACAAAGGAGCTCTGTGCTACTTTATTTCAAACAACTCACACTAAATAAAATTCTCTCATAGGGCCATTATGTTTTCAACCAAGGATATCTTTACAGCTCTCAGTCACAGAATTAGATATTTACGAGGACCTCTTAAAGGCAACATGATGATTATCTTAAAGAACCACACAGCGTTATGGAGCCTGTGGGAGACGGAGACCTCACATTTTACATCTGGCAGATGCTGTAAAAGATAAAGGGTGGGGAAACATTTGGATTTTTACTGTTGTAGTGCCAAAGCAGACATATTTACTACTTGGAGAAGAGGAAAAGTTCTACATTTCCAATTTAATGTTCTGTTAAGGCCATTAAATAAAATGAGATGTGAAAATGTTTGGTCATGAGAACCCACCCAGGAGTATCAGGGCTCTGCTTTGACAGCACGTTGGCAGAAACCTTAGATGATCCTCCGGATGAAACAGTTTGATTTACAGCCTCGGCAGGGAGGCACAGAGGGTGGAGTGGAAAACAGTGAGGAGAGAAGAGCGAAATATAGTTGCAGAAGAGGCCCACAAGAGATGTGGCTAGTTCGGAATGAGACATATTTTATTTACTGAAACTAAAAGGAAGCCTTTATCCCTGCTGATGTTTTGTGAGGAGTTATGGAATGTCTGAAGAATGAACGTATCTTAAAGGGTTATTCCAGGGACATGTAATCGCAAACTGCTATTACACACGGACAAGAGCAAGAACCTCACCTTCAGAGCCTCACACAGAAAATCACATTGCTGCAATTTACAACACAAGTGTGATTACATGATATTTACATTCACTATGTATTTATTTGCAAATCTGCTGGAAAACCTTTGAGAAGACTCTAGAACAGCTTTTAGAACGGTGACATTTTGTGGCAAAATCAGTTAATTTCGATGGAATCACTCACAGGGAAGCTAAGCTAAACCGCAACTTTCAAATTATTCTGTGACGAGTTCAACTTTGACACGTGAATTTGCATTGTTGAAACTATCTAACTAACTATCCTGACCATCTTATCCATAAGATGTCCTCAGTAGGCTTTCTAGAAACCTCTTTCATTATATGAATCAATATTGTGAAATAAAAAAAAAACTGATACCAACCATTTGACCAAATTATTGTGAACAAGCTATTAAAACGTGGTCACATGTCTTATCTCACGCAACACGCATGTCTGTGGATGTAATATGAATTCTGATGAGTGGCTTTGATTACTAATATTAGTTGCACTCCCATCATTTTATTTATTATTATATTATTATTTATCCATATGTTTATTTTTGCCCCATGCATCCTGACTTTTTCCCATTGAAAGTGTATCTACCTCTCTTTCATTTACTCTATTTTGTTCGTATAACCACTTTATCTGCCATTATTGGACTATTTCCCTGTAGTATCGGTTTGAATTAAAGAATAATTCAACTTTTTTCCAATTTCTATTAAATTCTTGGCTGTCATTATCAGCTATGATAACATTGTACTTGCCAAAAGCTCATGTTTCTTGTTATAGTGATGTCGCTGTGATATCTGAGTTTCAGTAATACACCAGTATTCCCCTTATATCGACAAACCGATATACTGGTCTCATTTTCTCTGCCAGGACTTGGAGGTTCTGGAGTCGGTCCTTCGTTCCAGAGCCCCTGAAGGCGACCCAGAGGACTGGGAAAGTCGTGGCGGTGGCAACCTGGCCAGCTCACGCTCATCCTCCGGTCTGAGCAGGCAGGAACGCAGCCGGCAGCTGTGGGAGGACATTAGCACGGTGGAGGAGGACTCCAGCAAACTCAACGCCCTGCAGCTTCGCCTGGATGAGTCCCAGAAAGTCCTGCTGAAAGAGAGAGAGTAAGAGAAACTGGAGCAGAGACATGAATTGTGATGTAACTGTTGAATTCAGTCAGTCCAACTTTTTTTGAAGTGGACCTAACATGCTCATTTTCAGCTCTACATTCTTAGTCTTAGACTCCACGAGAGTAGCTTTGCATGATTCACTCTTCAAAAGCATACTTATTTACCTCATACTGGTCCTTCATTCAGCCCCTTAGTTAATCCTGTCTGCAAAAGCATTTTGATGGTTTGTCCTGACTCCTGAGCGGTTGGATAACTGACTTGACAGACTGAATGGGTCCCTGTACTTCATCGGCGTGCTCAGCCGTGCTAGGCCTGGAGCAGATAATCATATAAAAAATCCTCACAGGGATTACTTTTACATACATTCACCTCATTATTTGTCACTTTGGCCTCGTTCAATATCAACATCCAACATTGTAACATTATATATATATATGACAGAAATTAAGGAAAACATAACAGGCCCCTGTTAAATTCATAAACTCCTGGTGGAAACTTCCATGTAATGATACTTCTACTCCACCAAATTCCGGTGGGAAATATTGTAGTTTTTCCTCTGCTTTATTTATATAACAGATATAGCTACTAGTTATTTTGCAGACTGATATTTAACCTACAAAACAATATGTTATTGTTATTGTATAATGGTTCCTGTGGCTCTGGAGGAGATTTGTCAAGTGTGACTGGGAGGTTCATTCCACACCGACTACGATCTTCGTTCAGGTGTCTCTGTACTCTAGCTGTCTGTCTGTCAGTCAGAAGCTCTTGAGCAGTTGAAACGACAGCGGCTGGATAATCTGTTTTCATCAGGGTGACTGACAGCAGAAATTTACTGGACAAAAGTAGATGGTGATTGGCGTTTCATTAGTGATTTCCTCGTTGTGAACTGTGCAGGTATTCTTAATGTGGAAATATAAAATGTGAACAGTCCATTATCAAGACATTTGCTGACTCAGATAATAACCCACTCAGACACCAGAGTATGGAGGACTAAAAGTGCCAAAATTAAATAATTAAATACATCATTAAATAATTACTTAAATGTGTCATTAGTTCATTAAAATTAGAATTAAATACATACATTTGTTATTAAATGTGTCATTAATTAGATTCATTAACAAATACGATTCGTCGTTTAGTGTAAAATATATATATTTTTCAACGTATTTTAATGTAATGTATTTCAGTGGTCGTGTGATTGCAGCTCTGGTTCGTATTGAATTTGATTTATCTGTCAAAACTCGCTATCAAAGTCACTGAGGGGCGCGGCCGTGAATCTGGTTGTCGATCATTGCTTTCGGTCTGACAGTAGAGTGCCGTGGATGGAAGATGAGGATCGTTCATGAACATTTCTAGGGAGTTGGGTGAGGGAATTTTAGATTAGATGTGGAAGCAGGACCTGCTGACCCAGAGCATATAGCTAGTAAAGCAGAGGAACTTATTGAAGTTCTTGGAGTTATTTCCGCACTTTCCGACCAAGATATTGACCATAGAGTGACTGCAAATTTAAAAGAAGTAGTCCATCGCTTCTCTGGTATCAGGGCCAACACACAGGGACCGGGGCATTTTGACATACCAAGTGCAGTTCTAACCCTCTTCCCCTTGATTTTTAGCCGTTGCAATTAAAGTTTTGTTTAATACAGTATCTAAACCAACGTAGAGGTGAATAGTAATAGTAATAATAATCTTGACAGATAAAATAAATTCATGAAGCACTGCAACATAGGGCCATAAAATAATTAATTAAATAGTGAAATAATTATATATGTTATACATAAAATGAATCGGTATTTTAATGAATTAATGACACATTTAATAACACATTTATGTATTTAATTCCAATTTTAATTAATTAATGACACATTAATACATATAAGTAATTATTTAATGGTGTATTCATTTATTTAATTTTTGCACTTTTAGTCCTCCATACCAGAGCAGTATGAGTGTTGAAAATCACTAATGTGTGTTGTGTCTTTGTGCCTTCCCTAGAGACAAGCTTGCACTAAGTAAGAGCATTGAGAGGCTGGAGGCTGAACTCAGTCAGTGGAAACTTAAATATGAGGAGCTCAGCAAGAGCAAACAGGAGGCCCTCAAACAGGTGAGACATCCATGTATTCCAGCTACCACTCTGCCTCTGTGGCTCTGAACACAGATAGACATGAGATCACTGTATCTACATTGATGTTGGCTCCATATATGATACAAGTTTGTAGTTTTTGATCAAATAAGACAACTCATTCAAGGTTTTCAGATACTCAGTGCACCACTTTGGTCAGGACAAGGATGGAGTGACATTTGTTACATACATCCATGTTCTCCTCAGAATGAAAGACCCTTTTCACAGCAACCATTTTGAGATTAAATAGTAGGGTAGCCAATGACACCAATGACACTAATTAAGGTGCTGTTTCATTTAGGCCCTCAGAACCAGCTGAAACATATTAGTTCTGGTTCTTGAACTGGTTCCGTTCAAGATTATTGGAACCCTGGTGCTATCTAGCAAACCAGCAACCAGTTTTGAGTGGATGCATCATCAACAGAGTCTGCTGTACAATGCACAACGACCTATAGACATGCCCATTTTGGTTCCCACCCAAAAGCCTGCTGTTATTTGATTCTACCTGGAAACCAACTTTTCCTTTTTTGACTTTTTCATAAAAATGTCTGTAATTTAGTTATTTTTTAACATGTATATACTACTAAGCCTGCTGTCATTGTTCCTTCCTTTCCTTTTTTTCCCCAATAAACTATTGGAACAACTCTATCAGGAATATAGATCCTCAACGACAGGAACCGAGTAGTCTTGCGATACTAGGCAATTAGAGGTCTCAGCGCCTACTAATGGTCTGGGGATTTCTTTTTCTTTTTTTTTTTTGAACATTCTTTTTATTTCAGTACAATCTAGATGCTACATCTTGAACATATCTGATTTTACATTGAATGTAGTATATGAACTTACAATAAAGGCACAAAGACAAAAAGGAAATGATAGTATAAGGCATAATAGAGCAATCTGGACAATAAATGATCAGGAAGAAACAAGTGTACAAAAAAGGAGAGAATAAGAAAAAATAAATAAATAAATAAGGTAAAATAAATAAAAAAATACAAATTTTAAAAAAATCACATTTAGGGGAGGGGTGACCACTGACTAAAAGTTGTAGTAGCCTTACGGCGACTGATGGCAACCCTATGCCACGTATATGTCTCTACTTAGTCTAAGGATAATGTGACATGTGCCCTGACATAATCCAGGAAAGGTCCCCATATCTTATTGTAGTTTTTTGCTGATCCTTTCAGAGAGTATCTTATATTTTCAAGTTTGAGAAAGTAAAGTACTTCCTTGACCCAGTGTGTAAATGTTGGGGGTTTACAGTCCTTCCATTTGATCAAAATCAGCCGTCTGGCCAGGAGCGTGAGGAATGCAACACTATTTGATTGTGCCCTAGTTAGACCCAAATGATCAGGTGCAACCCCAAATAACCCAACTAAAGGGTGTGGTGAAATTGGCTGTCCCAGGAAGCCTGACATTGTGTCAAAGATGGATGCCCAGTAATGATCTAGCTTTGGGCAAGACCAGAACATGTATGTGATGCTGGATTGCATTTACATCGATCACATAACGGGTCTGCATCAGAAAACCGTTTAGACAGTCTGAGTTTAGTCCAATGGATGCGATGCAATGTCTTAAATTGTAGCAACCCATGTCTTGCACAGACTGATGAACTATGAACTCTGCTCAAGGCAGTCTCCCAAGATTCGTCACAAATGGGTTCCCCAAGTTCACCTTCCCATTGAGATTTTATGTCAGAAATGGATGAGGGTGAAAGTGCCGTCAGCGCACTATAAGTGGTTGATATAATACCCTTGAATGATAAAGGCTTATCTAATATGTGGTCAAAAGGAGGTGCAAAGAGGGTTGTCTTGGAAATATAGAGGACATATTCCTAATGAAGTTACGAATTTGAAGAAAGCGAAAAAATGAGTTCTAGGAATATTAAAGGTATCACACAAATATTGGAAGGAGACAAAAGTTCCATTGTGATATAAATCTTGAAATTGCTTTATGCCCGCATTGTACCATATTAGGAAAGCTTTATCCGAATAGGCTTTAAATGTTGTTGTGCGTTCTAGGTTGTTTCCACCTGGAAAGAGACGACGATGCTGCAGTAGAGACTAACAGTGCAGTATTGATCGGCTTTGGTTTTGATGGTGTTCATGACAGTTTAGTAATATTGGCATGTCCCTACATTATCAGGGGATGTTGTGAGATACGCGAAGTGATGATGTGGATACACACAGCTGACCTTTGACCATTGATTTTTTTAAATAAACGTGTAAGATGGAGAGACTACATGATCAATAATGCTTTGAGGACACACAACTGGACAAACAGTCATCAAAACACACATCCAAACAATATAATTATATAATATAGTTCTTTTTTAATTTCATTTAATTTTTCATTTTTATTCTACTGGATGCTTGAATTTCNNATCTATCTATCTATCTATAATTATGTGCAGAATCGTCAGCTGTGAAGTTGTGTTGTGTAATTTGATTTGCAACATGCTTTTCTTTCGTTGAGGGGACACTTGGAAGGAAGCTCAAACACAAACAGACAATACCAATCTTAAGCCTTTACAGTGTAAATTGGTGAATGTGCACATATATTGCTCCAGAAAAGCTGTATTTTATAGTAATATCCCAAATTTGTGTTTTACATGTGGAAAATCCAAAGAAACCTTTTTTTTTTTACTTTCTGGGAATAACCAAAATATATTGTGGAAGAGATTTTACTGGTATGGAGCCCAATGTCCTTAGAGAAAAAATAGCTATTAAATCCTTTTGTTAATTATTTTGAACTTACAAACCTGGAAAGTATACTGGGTCAGAGCACGATGAAAACCTTTACTCTGCTTTGTGTTGAATGTGGGATTGTAGGTTTGGACTGATCTGAGGTATTACATAATTGTTTTGTGATTTAATATAATTTAAGATTCTTTATAGTTATAGAATGATATTGTATATTTGTTATTTGTCTTGATGCTGGTTTGAACATTTCTACCATATGCACAGGTGACATTTTAAATGGATTAATCTTCAGCACACTATAGAGATGTGTTCTGCTACTACAGGACTTTTTTTTTTAATCAAACTTGGATCCCTAAAAATAGTTCTATGTATGTTTAATTCTGTATGTTTTTCTGGGAATGTTAACTCTCCCAGTAGTTGCTGATGAGTTTTGCATATTAGTGTTCCAGCCATCACTTATTTTATCAAATTCATGAAGCAGTTTTTTACCCTTTTGTAGGAAGAACTCAAAGTGTGATGCAGTGAAATGCCCCCCTGGTGGCGTAAGTGTAATTAAAGCAGTGTTACTCAGGACTAGTTCAGTTTATCTTGAGACAGGATATCAAGCAAGGTAACAGTTTTTATCTTAACTAAGAATATTATCTCCAAAACACACACACAGACTGGTCTATGAAAATTAACACTTTCATGCTCAAGTATATTTCACAAGTCTTTGGTGTTCAAACGCTCCAGGTAGTCTACTGTAGCTAAACACGACCATAATGACTTTTCTTTTCAGTTAAGATCAGCCAATTGTATTTAAATGCAGACACATCAAAAACAAAAAAATACTTAAAATCCTCTTTATTTTCCTCACAAGAAAATGTACACAAGCTGATGAGGTTTATGTATATTGAAATACAAAAAATCTGTGGCTACATTTGAAGTTATCTTCCTTTGGATAATCATGACAATACGTATGGCAGAGCCACAGTAACAACAACAATAACAGTGTGTTCTGGACGGGTGTGTGGTGGTGTGGACAGGTCACAGTGAACTGATCACTGATATTGTCTGCAGGTCTACATGGCAGAGCAGACGCATGCTGGTGATTTCTAATTTTACAAGTCATTTTGGCTCTTTACACTCACAGTTATTTCCCACTATATTAGCAATAACAATTACATAATTATACAATCAGTCATAAAGCTAACAATGACAAAGATGAAGAATCCAAACTCGGAGATCAACCATCTGTTTAAATGAATACCCACCCTACAGTTATGATACGATGATATATTCTCATTCTGAAGAGACATTTCAGGCGTTGGTGCTTCTGTTGTGTATGAACACACTCCTCCAGTAGTGTTGATTTCAGAGACTTGCAGTCACATAATGCTGGTCCTCTCTTTGCTGGATCACAGCTGTGATATAAACTCTAGGCCCAAATCTGCAAGAGAGAAGTGTGAAGAAATAAAACATAAAACAAGAATTATTAAGCATGAGTTGTGAGCTGAAGAGCCTCAACAGATATAAACGTAAGTCTGTTGCATACTGGAATAGAGGGTTCCTGCTTTTAACAATAATAGTGTAGCTGTTCTTTTAGAAAATAAATGTATTATAAAGAAATGACACTTGACTCCCTCCTCATCGACTCACAGGTAAGTAGCCAAACGTAACTAAAACAAATTGATTGGATCAATATGATCCAAATATACACACTGAACTGGGCTGATTAGTTATGACAGTTCATAAACAATTAAAAAGCTCAGTGTTATTCACAAAATTAATGTATTAACCCAAACCAGCTTTTATGATGTGATGACATTTATTTTATGAAAAAAGTTATATCATTTCCCGGTTGCAAGGGAAATCCCTGCTCACCCGTAAGGTGTTGTCCCAAGAGGCCGAGCAGAGCGCCGTGCCATCAGGTGACACTCTGACTCTGCTGACGCGGTTCTCATGGCCATACAGAACGGAGACTCGAGTTCCCTTCAGAACATCCCACACATTGATGGTGTAGTCATTATAGCCAGCAAAAAGCAGGCGACCTGGGGGTGTGAGAAGGTGAGAGAAAGAGGAAGTGGGAAATTTGGAATAACAGGAAGTAGAGACAGAGAGACAAAGGGTTGGTTGAAATTGTGAGATAGAGATCAAATTTAAATAAAACAAAAACAGTTCTATATATGTTGAATACTGTATTTCTTTCTGAAACTGTTCACTTCCCCAGTAGATGCTGATGAGTATTATATTACCATCCAAGTGTCCCAGTCGTCACTTACGTTATCGCAGGACCTTTTTTTATAGTGAACATTTATTGAGCACTGACACGACAAGGCTTTACAAACTCCTCACCACTCAAAGAGAAGTCCACAGTGGAAGCACCAAATATGATGCTATCCTTCTGGTAGACGGCTACCTCGCGGTCAGCTCTCAGATCATAGAAACGGCACTGAGGAACAGCAAGAAACACACAGACACACACAGGACATACACAGTCATTTGACAATGGTAATTTCAGCCTGTGAATGGTCTACAGTCGGCACTACTACACTATATCATAGCAACAACAACAAGTTACTTTTTAACTTGTCAGTACAGTACTTGACTGATACAGTATATATGTAGGTATATTTTTATTTTTTCCACAATCTGACAAACAACTGTTGCAAAAAATGTAATCACTGCAATCACTGAGTTCACCCCAACATCAAGAGTAACGTTATATGGCGTGACTCACCGTGGCATCGTCAGAAGCAGAAGCAAATGCATCTCCACTGGGATAGTACCTGAACACACATGACCGAAGAGGGAAAATTAGATATACTGCTGTACCAGTGAGCTTTATATTTAAAAGAAACTGCATCACAGGACTGAAACTTGGTCTCAGTCTTAATCTAATACAGAACAGCACATGACGAAACAAATAAAGTGGCTGATCTTGAACTTTATATTACCCAACATTTCTTCTTCTTTTATGGATATTTTTGCACACTCAGTATAAACAATCATCAATGAAATGCTCAAATGTGAACATGCAACAAATGGGCATCACTTTACACCACAGCAATAATAACATGGTAATAGTGGTGTAAGAGTTTTATAATAAAGAGGTAATACTTAAGTAATTACCAGGTAATAATTACTAAACAATGGGTATATCGATGCAATATTAGATTAGATAAATCTTAGATTAGATTTATTTAGCAGGGTAATAAGGGGTCAAAATCAAAAAGGCTAATGATGGGAAAACACATTTAAATAGGGCAACAACAACAATAAAATGGTTATATGGTAATATGGTGACATCAATGGGGTAATAACCTGATAATAATGAGGTCATTTAGGTAGATTTTTCCACAATATTATGGGCTAAAATTCTTGGAACTCAAAATTAACATTATTAATCCCAAAATTCCTCCTAAACTATCTCTTTCTATTTAATGTTATGGTGAAGAAAAGAGGAAAGTGGAGAGAGTGTTCTCTCCCCTCACAAAGTCAAAAAGGGAACTTGTGGTGATGAGTATTTTTTATTGTATCATTTTAATTTAAATGCTGCACCAAAGCTCAGATTTCCGTTTTTGTAAGAAACATATTTTCATTCACCTTTTCTCATCATGTCCATAAAATGTGTTGGAAACAAAGGCAATCCTTTTTTTTTTGCAAGTTTGAAGTGTAAAATATGTTCACGGTAGTATTGAAAGAGTTTTGCTGACAGTAGTGAGAAATTTAATAGAAACAGGTAGCTATTACCATGTTATTACTGAGCTATAATGTAAAGTGCTACCCATAATATTGCTTAAGAATTTGACTAAAATAACTCGAATGCAATCAAAATCTCCCCCACAAACTCACAAAAGCTACTTTCGACCAGATTAGATGCAGATTTCATTGTGATGATCTAAAGTAAGGGCACTACAGTCTCTCATTTATTAAGGACAAAAAATGAAAGGGTAGCAAGATGCCTCAGATGTGCTATGACACATGTTGTTCTGCTCTTCCCGTCAGTGGAACAGTTTTATATCTCATGTCTGTCCAGTAAATTCTCCCGATTACTTAATAAGAGAAACAATGTGAGACTTTTGTTTTTACCAAAGAGCTGGACTCACTTTACGCAGTTGATGTCAGACTCATGGCTCTCAAAAGACTGAATGTTCTGTCCAGAGCGCATGTCCCACACGTTGGCCTTCTTATCACTGCCCTGATAACACACACACACACACACACACACACACACACACACACACACACACACACATTAGAGGAAATTAAATAATTTTGC